CGGGGGGGGGGACGAGGAAGGGCCGCGGCCGCCCTGCCCCGTCCCCGCTGGGTGACATTGCCGGTGGCGTGGGCAAGGGAGAAACGCTTTTGACTGCTCGATTCGGTACAAATTAGGTCACAAATATTGTGTACAGTTTGTAGTAAAACACCTCAGACATTTAAAAACGCTATATAAGTCTTTAAAAATGCAAAACTAGTCTATTGTAAAACAGATTCACCTGAAATACAGCTGATATAACCAAGGCGCTGGAAGGTTATTCATAGGCACACATCTGTCTTTCCTTTTCTGTCGGGTTTTTCGTTTTGTGTTTGTTTTTGTTTTGTTTTTCTTTTAAATGTTCTTTTTTTTTTTTCCCGTGGGTTTTCCTTTTTTTTTTTTTTTCTCTCTATTTTCCCTTTCCGTTTGGGTTTTGTTTTTGTCGTGTGGTCTTTTTTTTTTTTTTTTTCGCCGTTTTTTTTTTTTTTTTCCCTCCTTCGTCCAAGCGGAGCCCGAAAAACAAACCTTGTCTGCGAGTAAACACCGTGTGTGACCAGCGGGAAGGTCGGAGAGAGGAATAAAAATATTGCCGAGGCGGCGGCGGGCGGGGACCCCGCGCCGCGACTCCCGAAAGCATAAGTTAAAGCCCCGAGGGCAGTCCCGCGGCCGGACCGCGGTCAGAGGTCGTGGCAGCCCGTGTCCGTTTTCACGCCGTGGGCATACACGTCGTGCTGCGGCTGCTCCCCCGGAGGGGTCATGCGCTTCTCCTTCTGCCGCCGGTTGCAGAACCAGACCCGCACCACCTCCTTCTCCAGCTGCAGGCTGTCCGCCAGCGACGAGATCTCCTGGGCGGCCGGCTTGGGGCACTTGAGGAAGTGCGTCTCCAGCACGCCCTTGACACTCACCTCGATGGAGGTCCGCTTCTTCCTCTTCCTCCCCTGCGCCGCGATCTTGTCGATGCTCGTGGGGCTGCCCGTGGAGGAGTCGGCCTCCTCCAGCCACTTGTTCAGCAGCGGCTTCAGCTTGCACATGTTCTTGAAGCTGAGCTGCAGGGCCTCGAAGCGGCAGATGGTGGTCTGCGAGAAGACGTTGCCGTAGAGGGTCCCCAGCGCCAGCCCCACGTCGGCCTGGGTGAAGCCCAGCTTGATGCGGCGCTGCTTGAACTGCTTGGCGAACTGCTCCAG